CTACAATATGTCCTATTTGTCCCAGACTTCAAGCTCAATCTTTTATCTGTTGGAAAATCTTTGTTTAGCAATTCCTGCACAGTTCATTTCTCACATGATTCATTCATGTTCCAGGACCTTACCACTAAAAGGATCTTGGCTTCAGGAAAAAGGATGTCATGGTCTTTACACTCTTCAAGCTTCCATTCCACACTGCAATAAATTTTTTCCAGCTATTCCTACCACAACAACTAGCGATCATAACTTTTTGCCTTCTTCTTTTAATTCTGTTATTGATGTTTCAAATAAAGAGTCTTTGTATAGATTTCATGTGAGACTAGGTCATGCTTCTATGTCAAAATTAAGTCATCTTGTTCATGTTAAACCACTACATCAGAATGTTATTGTTTGTGATGCTTTTTTTATTGCAAAAATGCACAAATTACCTTTTCCTAAATATAAACTCAATAAATCTCTTTTTCCCTTTCAACTACTTCATATTGATCTGTGGGGACCTTATAAAACACCTGCTTTGAATGGGGCCAGATACTTCTTAACTCTAGTAGATGACAACACTAGAGCCACTTGGATTCATTTGTTGCATAACAAGGATCAAGTGTGTTCCATCATTGAATCTTTTCTTCATTATGCTCTTAACCATCATAAAACCCAACCACAATTTGTGAGAAGTTACAATGGGATAGATATAGTCAGATTAGAATGCCATACACTTTTCTCTAAACTTGGCATTATCCATCATAAAATCATGACATACACTCCCCAACAAAATGGGGTTGTAAAAAGAAAACATAGACACTTGTTGGAAACTGCTAGAGCCATTAAAATCCATGCTAATCTTCCTGTTTCCTTTTGGGGAGATTGTATCCTTGCGGCCACATACCTTATCAACAAAATGTGCATGGCCAAACTATCTTGGAGAACCCCTTTTGAAACCATATTTGGCTCACCATCTTCCTATGACAATCTCAAAACCATTGGTTGCTTATGCTATGCCAAATTGGCAGGGAAGTCACATGACAAATTTGCACCAAAGGGTCGTAGATGTGTTCTTTTAGGATATCCTTCAGCCTAAAAGGGATACAAGCTCTTTGATTTAGATACTAAAACTACTTTTCTCAGTAGAGATGTCCTTTTCCATTAAGACATATTCCCTTACAGGACACCCTCTTCCAATCCTCCACACACTAGATTTCTTTTATCCTACACTCTTCTCAGTTGCAGATGACTTTTGTTTTCTTCCTTCTGACATTTCCTCAGTCAAACTCCAGCCACTGGCTTTAAAACACCAATTGTTGTTCCCATAGATAATGTCACTTCTCTTGCCTCTCTTATTTTCCCCATACCTCCTACTTCTGAAACCCCTACTTTACCAATTCCTTCCTGACAGAAAAGACATGTCAAGCTACCAACCAAGTTTTCAGATTATGTACGTTTGTCCCACTCTTCAGTTCAGATCTCAAACTCATTGTTCCAGAGCTCATCCCTTATTTTCAGTCCATACTTCCTCTTCTCTGCCATTTGGCTTCTCCAGCTTCATAGCTAATGTGTTAATTATCCAAACACCCACAACTTATGCTCAAGCTAGTAAGGATTCAGGATGGGTCAATGCCATGTCTCAAGAGCTTACTGCTTTAGAGGACAATAGCACTTGAACCTTGACCCATTTACCAAAGGGTCATAAGGCCATTGGCTCTAAATGGGTATACAAGGTAAAACATAATCCTGATGATACAGTTGAGAGATTGAAGGCAAGATTAGTGATTAAAGGTTATAATCAGAAACTTGGGAGAGATTATAAACATACCTTCTCTCCAGTGGCTAAATTACCCACTGTCAGGGTAGTTCTAGCTTTGGCTGTTGCTTTTAATTGGACTTTACACCAGTTAGATGTTAACAATGCTTTTTTACATGGTCACATTGATGAGGACATATACATGTTGCCTCCAGAAGGTTATTACAAGGCTTTACCTGGTCAGGTTTGCAAACTCCAACGTTCTCTATATGGTCTAAAATAGGCCTCGAGACAATGGAATCTGGAAGTCAGTGGTTTCATTATTACTCTTGGTTACATACAATTCAAACATGATTATTCACTCTTTGTCAAGAGAACTAATGATCTCTTCACTATAGCCCTACTTTATGTTGATGACATGTTGCTCACAGGAAATTCCCCTTCAGACATCTTTGCAACAAAATTTGCTCTTCACAGTAAATTCACTATCAAGGACCTTGGGGAAGCAAAATATTTCTTGGGTATAGAACTCTGCAGAGCCACACATGGTATTCATCTCCACCAATGCAAGTACATCTTTGACATTTTGTCAACGCAAGAACTCTGCCTCCTTTCCCTTACCTCAAAATCTCAAACTCACCCTAACTTCAGGAGAACCATTGGCTGACCCTGAATCTTATAGATGCCTCATTAGGAGACTCCTCTACCTTGGCTTCACCAGGCCTGATATCTCCTATTCTGTTCAACACCTTAGCCAATATGTTTCTACTCCTACAAAACAACCTAACATTGGCAAGCTGCCACCTACATTCTCAAATATCTCAAAGGCACCATCAATCATGGTCTACCCCATTCAAAAAAAACTACCTCTCACAGGTTTTTCAGATGCAAATTGGGGTTCATGTTTGGCTACTCAGAAATCCCTGACTGGTTATTGTGTTTTCCTTGGCCATGTCCTTATTTCTTGGAAAACCAAGAAGCAATCTGTTGTTGCTAGATCTTCTATAGAAGCTGAATATATAAGTATGGCTGCCATAACTTGTGAGCTCCTTTAGTTGAGTTATTTGCTTCATGATTTACATTTGGATGTCTCTCTTCCTATTACCATGTTCTGTGACAACAAGGCTGCATAACAAATAGTTGCTAACCCATGCTACCATGAGCGTACCAAACATTTTGATATAGACTATCATTTCACTAGGGACAAAGTTCAAGATGGCTTTCTTCAAACAGCTTATGTTCCTTCCCAGCATCAACTTGCTAATATAATGACGAAGCCATTGGGTGCCTCTCAGCATGCTATGCTTTCTTTCCAGTTGTGCTTACAACCAGCTCCAACTTGAGGGGGGGGGGGGGGGGGGGGGG